AATTGAAAAATGCACTTTTTCTTTCAAGAAAATATTTTTTACATGGATTTTTATCATGAGAAACTAAGTTACCAGAAAAACCAATTTCAGAGGGGCTATCACAAAAAAAAAAAAAAAAAAAAAAAAAAGTCGAATTACAGTTAATTTCTATTTATTGCATAATATAAAAAAGTAAAATGTATAAAATTTAAGAAAATATAAAGCGCTGAGGGGAAAATACCTTAGAAATGCAGTTTAGTATGATAAGAGTTCAAGGCAAAGTCCAACTTCACAGTTTTTGCACCAGATTCAATAAATCTAATTAATTAATCAATCTAATTATTAATCTAATTAAATAATCAAAGTAATCGCTTTGTTTTCTAGCAGCCATTTCTGTAAGAAAAAAGCGACAAAAAGTGAAGTTTGCGTCCTAATATCACGTGCCTTCAAATGCCGCAATTTAGTGGACAACTAACGATATCTGTTGGCCAAAACGTAAATTAAATGCCTAATACTGTATATAATTTATTTCAATGCTTAAACGGGGAAAAAACGGGATGCACTCCTCAATTAAGGAAGAAAAACATATGCCCGCGGTAATCGCCAGATAAGCAAATTTTGCTACATTTGAGTTCCCCGTGGAAATCGCGGGATGATCAACCAGAGGGTTAATTCTATAGACACAATATTACAAAATCAATTACAAACTTCCATTGTTCAAATCCTGTAGCTGATATGTTACGAATTTCCATTTAATTGTCAATCCAAACTTTTTCATTCTCAACAACCTCTCTGTCACTGTCTTCACTACTGAGAGTGATATTTTGGGGATTTAGAACCATACTACAGATTTTGATGTCCATTAGTTGACTGATGATTGGGGCATTATTATTGCAATGGAAAATTTCTGTCATATCATTTTCAATTATTTCCACTTCTTAACAAATTCCATTGAATGGAAATATTTTGTTTTCTGTTGGTGATATCTCAAAACTTCAAATTCGCAGAAATAAGCCTTAACTAGCATATGTTATTCACGGTTGGCAATATATCATGAGATTGGCAACTAAAGACATTCCGGGGCACACGCAAGATATTTTGCAGCCAAGTGAAGTCTCTGTAGGTTCTAAATTCTAAAAATTCTGTCATTCCTTAATTCTAAAGATTTTGCCATTTCTTAATTTTGTAACTTGGAGCTTCTCTAAATTCTGAAAAATTTGCCTTCTCTAAATTCTGCAGTTTGGTGTAGCAGTACCAGTTCTGCCATCGGTCTTCGCCTTATCTGAATAACAAATTAGTTATTCTCAGTTCAGACAGCACTAAATATAACCTTTTGCCCTAAGTGTATCATTTGCAAAACCTATTTTTTTGCATATAGAAAGAAATTTCGTCAACATACCCAACACTTTGCTGCTTAAGTTTGTAATTATTTCCAAGTGTAATATTGACATAAAAGGTTACCATGTTCTTTGATATTCAGTCACTAATATATATATATATATATATATATATATATATATATATGTATGTATATATATATAAAAAAAAGCTTAGACTCTGTTGCATGAGTTATTTCTCTAGATGCTGTCTGCTCATACATAGTCATGCGGTAATGAAAGAAAAATATAATAAACAATGCTTCGCCAGGTTAGTGTCAGGGATATAAGTATTCAGTAGATATAAAATTAATGATGTTTTGATGTAAAATGTTTCGGTTTGAGATATATGCCATGCAGAAAGGAGCCAAATTATTGATTACACAGATCTTTGAATAGATTTTGATTTTTTCAACATCGAGGTATTTTATTTAGTGGCATAATGAAATAAAGAATCGGGACTCTCCATGTTTTATTATTAAAAGATATCAAATGCACATACATAAAGCATACCCCCACCCAAAAAATAAATAAAAAAGGGGGCCTGCTTGTGGTCTGGATTTTAAATCATTCCAAACATTAGATGCTTGGATTTCAGACTTACTATACTGTACTATAATTTTTTAAGTGTGTTTAGATTTATTTATTTATTATTTTTGTTTCTTCTTTTTATTTAGCAAAGTATGCAAAGACTATCTGTTTAAAGGAAAGGATACATACTACATTACATTTTTATTATTAAACATTAATTTTAACACATAATTTTGCAGAAGTACAGCGAGAGAAATAAAATTCTACAAATTGAGGGAAAATACATTTATACTAATTGTAGGGCGATTTAATTTTTTTTCTTTTATATTTATTTTTAAAATACATACTTTTCATGTGTTAAAATTAATAAATTAAATAGTACAGTACAAAGTCCGTAATCTGGATGTCTATTATCCGGAACTCAAATCCACAGCTTTTTTTTTCTATGCTTTACGCAAGTGCGTAATGCGTTTACGCAGCCGAGTTTAATGTATAACGGATGGTATAAGCTAGGTTAAAATTATTTTTACTGATTCTAAGGCCATTTCAGTTAATGGTGCAGATTGTGCTGTTCCTTAATCTTCTAATTGGATAATAAGCAATATTAACAATTTTATAAAAATTAAGCTTGAACTTTCGATTATGTCAAAAAGAGTTTCCAATTCTGGAGCTGCCAAAGCATCTACAAAGTGAAAGCATGTTTCGATGTCCATCAAACAAAAAGTGGAATAGCTGCAAAACATGGATAAAGGCATATCCGTCTCAGAATTATGCGAGGAGTATAGCATTGGAAAGTCAACTGTATATGACATAAGCAAAACAAAAAAGGAACTTTTTGAATTTTTTGTGGATTCCAACACCCCACTTGCAATGAATAACAGAAAAAGGGTTCGCTATGCTAAAAGTGATGATTGAATGGGTCAGACAGCGTCAAAGCGAGGGCGTGCCATCGACGGGTCCAATTCTAATGGCTCAAGCCAAAATATTTCATGAAGAAATGAACTTAAACACTAAGTGCACATATTCAACAGGTTGGTTAAGCAAATTAAAAAATTGCAATGGTATAACACAATAACAAATTTCAGGTGAGAAAGCTTCAGCTGATACCGAAGCTGCTGAATAATATGCAGATGAGTTCATTGAAATCATTACTAGTGAACAATTATCTCCAGAACAAATTTACAACGCTGATCAAACTGGTCTTTTTTGGCAGTATGTACCGTAAAATACCTAGGCAACCTCTATAGAAAAGGCTCCAACTCCAAAGTGAGACTAACAATTTTAGCATGTGCAAATGCTGCAGGAACGCATAAGTGCAAACTTTTTGTCATCGGAAAACATGCAAGACCTTGAGCATTTAAAGGAGTAACGATTTTCCCTGTTATATATCTCGCAAATAAAAGAGCATGGATGACACAAGCATTGATGAATGATTGGTTGAAAATCATTTTATACCTGAGGCTTGGCGACATTTGAATTCGGTTGGCTTACCTGATGACTTAAAAATAGTCTTGATTGTTGACATCTGTTCGCTGCATACTTAAAGTTTTAGTGAAAGATAATGTATCCGTATTATTCTTCCCTCCAAATTGTACATCTATCATTCAGCCTATGGATATGGGAATAGTGCACATGCTGAAATGCAAATATAAAATAGCATTTTTAAAATCTATGTTAAATTTCTTGAACAATGGCAAGACTATTCAAGACTTTTTGAAATTTTTTAGCATAAAATCTGCAGTGTGGAGCATCGGAAGATAGTGGGAGGATCTGTCTCCTGATACATTAAAAAATGCTTGGCATAATTTATGGCCAGCTACCATATTTCATGGTGAGGATGATGAAGATGACAAGCGTGAATTTGAAGGTTTTCGGACATCGCAAACTAAAGGTGAAATTTTCCAGTTATTGGATTTTGTAAAGAAATGTGGAGAAGCGGTAGTAAATGAAGATGATATAACAGAAGTTTTTCATTGCGACGACAATGCCCCAATCATCAATCAGTTAACGGATGGAGAAATCTGTAGTATGGTTTTAGATCCAGAAAATACCGCTTCCGATAGTGAAGAAAGTGAGAGAGAGGTTATTAAAAATGAAAAAAATTTCGATTGACAAGTTAGTCGGTATTCTCGACAGAGCAATTACAGGACTTGAACAGTGGAACTTGGTAACTGAACAAGAAATTATGCCTGCTTATAGAATTAAAGAGAAAGTATTACACAAAAAAACGAAGCAACTTAAACAACTTACATTGAAAGAAATGTTTACAAAGCAAACAAATAAATAATTAAGCTTTTTTTTTTTAAATTTGATAATTGCTTTTTATTTCATAAATTACGGTTTCATATTTTTAATTGTATAATTTCTGCATGCCATCTTACCAGATTTAAATTGATGATCTATAATCCGGAAGAACCCCTAATACGGAATCACCTAAGTCCCGACGAGTCCGGATTACGGATTTTGTACTGTACTAATTAATAAAGCATTTTTTTTTTACATTTTTATTAATGTCTACCAAGTCTTGCACTTTTCTTTTGGTTTTAACCAGTTTTTTCTACCAACAAGGCAAAAACCAGCCCTGATTTTGCTTAAGAAGCAACACAACGACAAAATTATATCATAACATAATAATTACAATCATTTACATGTTTCTTTAATTTTATTTAAGTGATGGTTTTTTAATGGCACAGATTTAAATACTTTAAATATTTATTAATAACATTTTGACACCCTCTCTTGTAGTAGTATTGATATGAAAAAGTGATAATAAAAAGAATTACTTAAAATACAAGCAACTGTTAGTATATTGTAATAAAACAAAATTTGTTATTATAAATAATACTACAATAAAAACTGCATTTCTTCCTTTGAAAAAAAAATACAGTTTTTAAAAGCATAATAGCTTAATTTTAGTTCAATTATTACAATTAAATTTAGTTGGACAAGGGGAATCATACAAAAGAACACTCAAATATATATGCTATATCTTAAATACATGCAATAAAAAACAAACATTAAAAGCACAAATTAATGAATTAAAATACATATTTGATTTATGCAACAGTTGTTGAATATGAATAAAAATCAAAACTTGATTCAAAAGAAACTTACATATTTTCAATGTTTCACTTTTTTCAAGTAAAGCAAAAAATTCTGAGCCATGTTGCATCACATGAAGAATTTTAGATTTCTGCATCTAGAAATATTTTGAAATACATATTTTGTTATGCAAGATACATGATATGTACATGCTGCTAATATTAGTACTATAGCTTACAGAAATTGAATAATAATAAGGCATTACTTCTTCATCCTCAAAGTAAGCCCCCTTCCCATCCTAAAACTTATTTATCCAATTTGACATGTGTCTATCTATATGAACTTGAGGTCAAATTCATGTTACTTTTGATGAAAACTTTAAGTGAGATTTAATGAATTATATGATGTTCTGATATCACCATCTAACATTTTTTCTACTGTTTTGGTAGTCCCACTCCCTCAGTATTAAATCTGATCTTTAAATTTAATGGTCGACTTTTAATTTTAAGGATACAATCGGAGACAGCTTTAAGTAAAATAAGGGATGTTCTTACAAATAAAATGGCTGACACATTTGAATTTAACGTAGAGTTAAATAATATTTTGTAATAATGTTCTTGTCATTCTGGGGTCAGGCAAAATTTTCAGAGCTTAGGAACAACTTTTAATTTAATAGAATATATTTTTCCCAATACCAAAATAAATAAATAAAATAAAAATTGCTTTCAAAAGTATTACCATAAAAAATTAGTTTTCAAAACTATTACCACCTAATAGTGAAAGAAATTTAAATGACTGCAAACCTCAGACAAAAAAATAATCTTAAGCAGATACCACCAGAATACATAATTTCTTTGATTCTAATAACTTTGTGAAATTTACAGATTACATTTATGTATATTTTGTTTTAAAAATTTACTATTTTAAATTTTCCATTAATAATTCTGTGTGCATTTTATTTAAATACTTTCTATATCTATTGTGCATGTGATAATTGTTATCATATTTGATTTACATGGGGTGTAGTGTAGCAGGCCTCTTCGTGGTGCATCCTGGGTTATGCTAAACCTACTAAAGCTTTGCCGCTTGTTGATGGCTACTAGAGATCCTCCAAACTGTCCTTTTCTGGACAAACAGCACTTAGTGATTGTCCAATGTAATGCGGGTGATTTTTCCCAAGAAAAGAAAACACAACTTATGACTGAATTAAATGCTCAACAAATAGATGTATTTCTTATTTTTTGAGGCAAATTTGTCTAGGAACGGTATGAAATGCTACTCGTTTGATAACTACTATCTACAACTCTTGCCTAAATCAAGAAGAATCGCTAGTGGAATCTTGGTTGGTATTAAAAACAACTTGTTTTCCAAATTCAATATTATCAGTGACTTACCCTCTTATACTGGTGATGAGCTGGTCAAAATCGACGTTTGGAAACAAAAAAAAAACCTTTCACTATTTATACTTGTTATAGCCCACAAAAAAAAAAAAAAAAAAAAAAATAATAATAATAATAATAATAATAAAAAATAAAAATAAAATAAAATAAAATAAAATAAAATAAAAAATAAATAATAAATAAATAAAATAAAATAAAATAAAAAATCCAGGATCTTTCCTTCCTTAAGTTTTATTAAGGAAGGAAAGATCATGGATTTTTTATTTTTTATCCTCTGTGGAGATTTTAATGTTCATAGCTCCCCCCCCCGATGGAATTTTAGGATTCTAACCATTCCAGGAGAATAATGGAGGACCTAATTAACTCAACCAGACTGGAACTAATCTACCAGAACATGGATATTCTTTCTTATATTCCTTATAATGGAAATGGTACAAATCCTAATCTGATTTTAGCCACTGTTGATTTAGCTGGGGATGCAAGAAGAGAAGTCATTTTTGATCCTGGTTCTGGATGTCGCATCATCACGACCCTTTTTGGATTACAATTGTCTTATCTTTTAGTATATGAAGTGAGAAATAGGTGGAATTTTAAGAACCCGAAGTGGCTAAAACTTTTGCTGGGAACTTGAGACTATCTTTTCCCAACCACCTAAGTTCTTAAACCCTGAGATGAGCACTGACAAGGCATTCTCTTATTTTTCCGAATTGATTTTGACAACCGCAAAGAAGTTTTTTTTTTTACCTTAGTTTTTTTACCAAGAGGTAAAAAAAACTAAGGTTCAAGGCTTTCTGGAATCATAGACTGACTGAATTAAAGGGTATAACCATTGAATCTCGAAATGTCGCTGAACAAACAAAAAATCCTAAAGACGTCCAACGAACTGTAGCCATTATTAAAAAAGAAATTATTGCAGCAAAGAAAAAATGCTTTAATGATTTCATTACTAATATAGATTATAGAAAGGATGGAAAAAAGGTTTATAATTTTGCGAATGGAGTGAAAAATGAAGAGAGTGTTCATGGAAGAGAATCCATGAAAGTAGGTTAAAAAATACTGACGGATGATCTGGTCATTGCAGATGCTTTTAACTCCTTTTATTGCAAAAGACAACATTAAAAAAACAAACTAAAGAAGAATCAAAGAACCCTTCGGAAAACAATTATCTAGAAATTTTTTTCAAGCCCTCGGGGACCTTCGGTTTTCAATAGAGATTTTACTATTTCTGAATTGCGAGGAGCTATTGGACAAATGAAATGTAAAAAAAAAGTCCAGGCCCAGATAATATCCATTTCGAATTTTTAAAGAATTTTTGCGAAAACACCCTGAATGTCCGTCTGAAGCTCTATAATAAGAATTGGAACTCGACTGTTCCTGCTGCCTGGAAAAAGGCCATCTTGTTCCCAATTTTTAACCCCTTGTGATGCAGTATACTTCAAAGCCGGAATTTCAACAACAAAAATTGCATGCAGTCTATCTAGGCCTAAAGGAGTACACAGGTAAAATTTTGTATAAATTGCACTTACCGTTTTAATTCTGTGGGTGTTCCATGAGGTGGAACACTGCGCCGCCAGAGATTTTAAAAGTGTGACTAAGTGAGCATTGCAGTGAAGCATGGAGATAAGTAGGAGTGTTTTTATAGCAATGAAAAAACACTGTATTATGGCTGTATACATGGTTTTCTGGATATACACAACATTCTTGAGTAAATATGGGTAAATGAGATACATTATATGTATATACACAAGTCCTATATACAAAGATATTTAAAAATTTTTCGATTTCTTAACTTTGTGAAATTGTTCAAAGTATGTCGCACCTTTTTGACAGAAGCACAAACCAACTTTGCAGGTTTTGAATACAAAAGTTGTTTTGTGCGGCTTCTTGTTCCGTGCAACAATATGGTTAGAATTCCAAGTAAAAACTTGAGGCTGCGTAGAGGGGCCTGGCTAAGATGGATCATCAACCTTCTCATCAAATAAATGAGTTTCATCTGACATATCACAATAGGATTACACAAGTGGTTCAGGAGCATATATCTCAGTATCGCTGCTATCTTCATGCTCTGATTCAGAATAAGAGGGTAAATCATGAAGCACTTTTAGCGCTTCAGAAAGAGTTAGACCTCTCTGCACCATTTATGGAAAATTAATAATAAAAAATTAATTACAATTAATACTAACAGTAAAAGAAAAATAAGCTATAAGATATACATACACAAAAAAATATCTACACAATTATTAAAAATAAACGGGAATGAGACTAAAAAGCGACAGCAAAAAATTTGTGCAGCTCTAAGTAAAGATGCCTCGAGCTACTGATAAAAATCTCGCCTGAAAATTGCTCACAAAAATTTCAAGATGACCATATTGGGGCTTTCATAGCACAAACCCCACCTCACCCCTCAAGACTGCTTTTGAATTCATTCCCCCAAAACAATGTAAATAGAAAACATATACAGCAGATGTTTTCTCCTAAGACAGATGTTGTGATGCATAATAGCATGAGATCGCTAAAGACACAGTGTTCCCACTAATGGAACACCCTGTTTTATTCAATGATTCTGCGCATGCTTTTTGTATGAAAAATGTAAAATAATATATAACAAATAATATAGAGTACAGCCATCAAAATTATACAGAAATTGTTTTTCAAACAAATTTTTTTTTTTTGTATCACCAAAAAAAAAAAAAAAAAAAAAAAAAAAAAAAAAAAAATATATATATAGAAAATTACTAGAAAATAAGTGGATCTTAATAACACATCATAAATGAAATTCTGATTCTCCTTGTGATATGCTGCCATTGACTATTTAAAAAGATAAGTTTGAAGTATCTTATAAAGGCATTTTTATTCATTTATGGTTGAATTTAATGGTTTCAGAAGCAATTCAAGTTGGGTGTTCATGTAGTGGAACACTGAGCAACAAAGGGTTAAAAAAAAAAAAAAAAAAAAAAAAAAAAAAAAAAAAAAAAAACCACAACAGGATTTGGACAGTTATAGACCAACTGCTTTAATTAGTGTGTTATCAAAAATTATGGAGAAAATGATTGTTTCCCATCTTAGTGGCATTTGGAAACGAATAGCTTGGGATTTAGAAATTACCATTCTACAAGTCACCAAGTCATATTCCTAAACCAGTCTATTAAAAATGCATGAAATTCGGTACTGGCTGTTTATGAAGATTTCCAAGCAGTGTATGATAATGTTTGGAGGTTAAAAGTTCTTCAAAAACTTCTGACATTCAGTGTTGGCGGGAAATTGTTCCTTTGGGTAAAACATTTCTTGACCCAACGTTTTTGTGTTACTCGTTATGGCCCCAGCACTTCAAAATATAATTGTTGAAATTGGTTTGCCTCAGGGCACAGTTATTAGTCCTATTCTTTTTAATATTTTCACTAATGATCTATCAGTCATTTTGGAATCAGATGGGATCGTGAACACTGCCCTTTTCGTCAATGATCTTGTCATATGGGCCAGAGCTAACAAAAAAGATCAAGATGGTTTAAACCGAATCCTAAACTATGCACTCCAGAGACTAAAGGAGTGGTGTTCTGCTAATAATATGGGAGTTAATCGGGGGAAGACTACTTGTCAGTTTTCTCTTTCAACAAACCAAACTTTACTCCTAAACTAATCTAAGTCGGTTTTGCAGCAGGGGCAAACCAATCAGTGACAAACCCGATTCAGAAAAATGCTTTCATCCTTTTCCAGAGACTTATTCAACTACTAAGAAACTCTCATTGGAGGAATTATGATTATGATAAACAATGAAATCTGAAGACAAAAAATGGCTTTCTGCAGTGTGCCTCTCGCCCAGAACAATACAATCATACAAGAACACTGAAACTGGCACTGCTGTTTTTCCTAAATCTTTTGAATCATAGCTTCCTTGATGTGCAGTTGGACGTGGAAATGAAAGTAGGTAAGAAGAAAATGAGTCCAGAGCAAATAAGCACTATAGCTTTGGAAACAACTGAGCAACGTTTTCCGGCTAAGGAATGGATGCATGTATACATGGATGGCTCTCTGACCTATAAGATCCAGGGGGCTGGAGCTGGAGTTTTTAGCAAGCTTTTCTGTTTCTACATATCTGTATTGGCTTACTCCATGCACTCTGATGAAGAACTAAAAGCCATTCATGTGGCTCTCCAACAATTATCACTGAGACAGAGGTAATAATTGTTGGATGGATGGTCAGAGAGCCTCTAGGGGTTGGAGCTGGAGTTTTTAGGAAGCTTTTCTGTTTCTACATACCTATAGTGGCTTACCCCATGCACTTTGATGGAGAACTGAAAGCCATTCATGTGGCTCTCCAACAATTATCACTGAGATAAAGGTTGTTTGGGACGGCTGTTGTACTGTCGGATTCGACTTCAGCAATACAGGCCATCTCCTCTTACCAAGAGTGTAAGAATATATGCGTTCAACACTGTCAGAAAGTCACAAAAGAATTTTCCCACAAGATATCTTTTCAATGGGTATCTTCACACTGTGGTATTTATGGGAATGACATGGCTGATGTGCTTGCGAAAAAGGGGGCTATGGTTCTACAAAAGCCAAAAACGTGTGCAAGCCTGCATTCTATTAAGCTTCTGACATCGCTAATATATCAAAAGACTTTGAGATTTTGCCACTTGGGCTTGTGATGGCAAGCCTTGGAGTATTCTCTCAAGAAACCCAGCTTTTGTTTCTGACCACCCGCAAACAGTTGCGGTTGCATCTTTTAGACTATTGACGGCGCATGACCGTTTACAGAATCATTTATTTCGCATTCGACTAGCTGATTCGCCCTTGTGTGTTTTATGTAACAGTGGACAGCCAATGACAGCGGAACATTTGGACGAGTGTGAAGCACTGACAAATTTTTCTTGTAGATTTCAGCACTATTGGCAAACAAGGAGTTTAATGGCCTAACGGCCAATGTAACTGGCATTTGACAAATAAAAAAAAGTATTTTATTTGCATTTAACCCAAAGTAATTCAAAATTTTGAAACCAAAGTGCATGAATCTCAATTATCTCTTAAAATAAATGTTACTCCTATTGCTATTTAAAAATTTTGAGATCAGCATCACTCAACTACTTTGTAACTGAAAGGCTAGAAAATACAAGTAGAAGTAAAAAACAACTTCTTTAGCTGAAAAACTGTAGACAATGCACTGAAATAAAAATGGGGGAAATAATAATAAACATTTTAAAATATAAGTATCAATTAGAAGGGGGAAAGTTATGATATTTTTGTAATCTTTATATACTTTTACAGAAAAACATGTTTATACTAATTGGATTTATAACTTAAGTACAGTTCACTGTTTTTTAATTCTTGTCAAGCATTAATTTGTTTTAAATGCACAGATTCTTTCACCTTTCCAAGCACACATCATTAACATTAATCATTAACATTAATTCAATAAACAATTTAGCTAATTTCCAGCAGTTTCTCTAGAGTGGAGTACATTTTTCATTAATCACAAAGATTAGAAGCTTAGTTCTTATGTATATGAAAAGTGAGAATTTTGTAGATATCCCAATATCTTTAAATATGCAATTTTGAAAAGAAACATTTTGCAAAGCATAAATAATTTAAGTGGAGAAAAAACTGAATTCTAACAATTAAAAATTTACTTACCTCTTCCCTCCAATTATCATTATCTTCAACAAAGAATGTAGGCTTCAAACCAGACACAACAGGTAAAAAGAAAGGAGCCCTTTTTGGAACACTTACTGGCTCTTTGGGTTTATTTCGGAGCTATATTGCAATAAAATAATTTTATTAATGTTACTAAGCACTAAATATTTTAAATGTATATTTATTTTATAGCAGGTCAATCATAACAATTTAGAAAATTATGTAAGAAAAATGTTAGTTTTTAAAATTTACAATTCACAAAATCTTCATGTAAAAATTAAATTATTAACTTAAAAATGATATTTTACAACATAATCTGATTTGTTAACACTACGTTTATTGATACATAACAGGTAAAATTAATTTACCTGTTGTGTAATTATTAATTATCAATAATTTAGTTAAATTAATTAAATTATTGATAATTAAATGCACATCTATTTTTTTAAACAAACAAAGCACAAAAAAAAAAGGGGGGGGTATAGTGATACTTTCAATGTTAAATAAGCTTTTGAGTAGAAGTTACTTATAGCAGAGCTGTTACAAATTGTTCCTATCCTTGAAGACTAGTCTACCCACCATTCCAACCCAGCAATGCAAGATTACTGTAAATTTCAAAATGTACTTCTGAATGGGATGTTAATCAACATTAATTCTTTTGACCAAGCAGTTAGAATTTAGGGTTCTTTTTGATTATACAGATGCCTCTGAAAAGCATTCCCAAGAAAGCGCACTAAAAAAAGTCAAAATAAACAACCCACAATGTCACAAAAATGTATAATAACCCAAGTATGCTCAGATAGGCTGCAGATGACAGCTGATTTCTGCCTGCAAATTCAACAACTTCTCTGACTAGTGTTTGCTGCTTGTTTCCTGATTAGTAATCTGCTGAAATAAAATATAATAGAAGATTAAAAATCTGCTAATGCCTGAAATTTGTGCCACTTCTTGGATATCAACAGGGCAAAGCAGATAGCTCTGAAAATTTTTGGTTATAATGTTAAGCATTTAATATTAAAGGAAGTAAGCTAGCATCTTCTACTGATAATCCCTTTTATAAAAGTTAAAAATAAAAATTTACTTAATACTTTCTTTAATTAAGAATACATTTTTAAACGTCATTTTATTCTGAATGGAATTAAAGCCTATGCTTTAATTTAAATGAAATATTTTCACAAGTTTTTGTTAATTACATTAGAAAGAAATTTTAAGGTAATTCAATTTTATTTGGTTAATGATTTCAAAAATTAAGTTTATTGTATTTTTATTAGTAAAATTATGCATAATTTCTTTTCTATTTACAGAGCTTCTTCCAGAAATACTTTCTCAAATATAATATGATTTTTAGCTTCTGAGGCATCCTTTAAATTAAAAATTAGAGTCACTTTATAATTAATGCTCTGTAGGGTTCATTTCAAATTAGAGCACTTTATATTTTAATAGTGAAATGCATTAAATATTGCTGCTGATTTCCATGCACTTAACTTTCTATGAGTATTTCTGAAAGGGATTAAAAAAGTTTTTCTTTTAATATTATTTAAAACTTTTAACCGAGTTATTATAAAATGTAAGGAAATTATTCTTTTAATACTTATCAAATTTTTAACCCTTAATTTCAACAGTGCATATTCTAAAAACTCTTCTTTACTATTTCCTTAAATAGGCATCTCACAGACTGTGTTTTAAAACACCTTTTAATTATTGCTTTCCAGTAAAAACCATTCTTGCTTAAATAGTTTTAAATATATTTGTAAACAGAATTTCAATTTGTGTTTATGATTAAATGTTACGGTTATTATATATTTAGATAATATTTAATAAATAGATCTCTTCACAGTAACATTCACAGGAGTTTATGAATGAATAAATTGATCATTTCCAAATATATTTATGTATTTTGCCAGAGGCAAATATATGCTTTTTTACAATGTTATGCAAAAATGCCCCCATATATTTAATATTTTTCATTTGCAGCATATGCAAATCTTTAATTTCTGAACATTAAGTATATTTTGCAAGTTATGCACATATCAGAATTTTTTATAGAAATACTGTATATTTTAACATGCATAATTTTATACTTGCATTTAGCCATCAAGTTTTAAACTTTTGACTTATAACACGTTTTTGGATACATTCATTATCAAATTTTCTAATAAACATATTTTGGCAGGGTATTTAATGGCTCTCTTAGTGATTTTACCCAGTTTAATAGTTTTCTGATAATACAATAAATAACAACTATCCATTTTACATTTAAACATTAACCTCACTGTCATTAGATCACAATCTTGATTGTCTTACTCTGCACAATATTGCTTCATTTTTTAAAACAGTTAAAAGAACTAATTCATCTAAATTCACAAATACATACATTATACAAATAATTAAAAATATATAAATTATACTAATTTTCACACCTATACCACTTAGTTATACGGAAATTGAGGTTAAAGGTGTGTTATACTTTCACGATATTTTGACATTTCAAAGGTACCTTAAGGTATTTTTCATTTTTTAAGCATAATATAAATATTTTGCTAAAATCTACATTTTTGAAGTCTAGTAGCTTATAATTTTATAAAACAAATTTATAATCAAAATCGCTGTTGCAAGTCATAAAAAAATAACCCAAATGTGATTTTTGTGTAAATGCCACTAAACTATAAAATTCGCTATTATCCATCCAATAATGAATGTTTCTTTTATGTGGAAGTGTCCCCGCTTTTCGATTTGTATGGAACTGTCATGTGTTGAAACACTATCCAAGCACTGTTAATGATGCTCTGGATGTAAACAAAAACACCCCCTCTGGAGACCAAAGTTTGGAAGTTATGAGTCACTCATAGTACAGGGCTGTTGCTCCTGTTATTCTTACCTCCATGCATTTTATACTTTATTTTAAACAACACACCTTAATTAAAATGGTACAGTTATATTTTATAAGAAAATATACACAGGGAAAAAAAAAAAAAAATTGTACCTTTATTGTATGAAGGTCTAAAAGATTCAACCAGTGTGACTGTGATAGTAGAGACAGTGTTGCAAGTTCATCGGAAATTTGTTCTGGAGATTTAAATTCAGGAATAACTGGGTATTCTAAGGTATAGATATCTTCTTCTTCTGCTAAAATTTAATTTCTTAAAAAATTTAATCTTTGAAGTACTACCATCACACAATACAATACACATTTATTATGATTAAGTAATTAAAACTTATGTAATCAAATATCAACTTGAATATATTCAAATTAGAATATTCACAAAAATAATTTACAATGAAGAAGTCAAAATGATGACATACTAAATCATATTCTATAAACCCTAATATATGGAATTAAAAATATTGTACTGTAAGAAACTTTTTGAGAATTTCATATAATCATAGGAAATTCATCCCTAAGCTACATCTGTTTAAAATTTTTAAAAGCTCCTCATTTACTTTTTTCCAAGCAGATGTATCCATGTCCTTGATCAAAAGTTAAATATGGTATTTTTTAAACTGGAAAAAACAAACAGAAAACACACTTAAGAAGAAAGGGCAGAAAAATCATGGGTCATGCTACTATTACTTTGTAATTGAGTAGATAAATTTATGTGATATATTTTACCAACAGTGAAAAATAGTTGTTTAAAATCGCATTTATATTAACATTTAGTTTTCATAAGCACTAAATTAAAAACGGTAAAAACAATAGTACAGTCAAAAGTCGTTAATTCGGACCTCAAAGCTACAAACTTTCTGCGCATGCGTCGCATTCATGCATGCACACAGGCGTTTACGAATGCGCGCAAGACCTTTACGACTGCGAATAAGTTTGTGCGCATGCGCGTTTAATGTGTAACGGACGGTATAAGCTAAAATAAAATTATCTAATTCAGTTAATGTCACAGATTGCGTTGTTCCTTAACCTTCGAATTGGATCCGGCTTATTATTTTTTGCAGACTGTTAGATCAATTTCATAAAAGTAAGCTTGAACTTTCGATTGTGTCAAATAGAATTTCCGATATATATTTACTAATATGTAATTTGTATCTACAAAGCGAAAGTATGTTTCGAAATCCGAAATGTGTTTATCAATTTCACGCCGCGGATTGGAAGTTGATCTGCCAGCACTATCCTTATCTTAGGGCAGATGTTTTTATTTTATTTGGCTTATAATTCCTTACTAAGTGTAGTATTTCATCTCGATGTACTCCGTCTTTGATATGATTTAAATCAAGTTCCTCGTCATTATAATTTGCTTCCGATAGTGAAGAAAGTGACCCAGAGGTTATTGAAAATGAAAATATTTCGATTGATAAATTAGTCGGTATTCTCAACACAGCAATTATAAGACTTGAACAGCAGAACTTTGTAACTAAACAAGAAATTATGTCTGTTTAATAGAATTAAAGAGAAAGTATTATCACATGAAACGAAGCAACTTACATTGAAAGAAATGTTTAATAAAGTAAACAAGAAAATATTAAGCTTTTTCTTTTTGTAACTTTTGATACCCTTTAGATCATAATTGTTCTTTATTTCATAAATTACGGTTTCATATTTTTAATTTTGTAATTTCTGCATGCCTTCTTACCAGATTTAAACTGATGATCTATAATCCGGAATCGCCGAAGTCCCGATGAGTCCGGATTAACGACTTTTGACTGTATATATTATTACACACTATCTTCAAGAAGAAATACAAAACCTTATTACTGTCCTCTTAGAAATTCCAAAGTTCACAATTTCGCACACCTTAAAAAAAGATGGCATTAACTTCTTCTGGCTTCTTTTAAATTACTTGTTTACAGTGAAATGATATTTTTTTACCCAAACCTGAAAAGGATGTAACTAGTGGATGACATTTACAAGTAATTTAATACATGTATGTAATTCAAATTCTCTTTTCTCTTTGAATTTGGCTAGAATTAATAGAGTACTATTCTCTGTGTGCTTTATGGAATTACTGGCCATACATTCTTTATACTAAACAAAATGTCTTACTTCAATTTCTTAAGACGTTTTTATAGCTCGATTGCATGAAGAATTGTGACTTTTTTAACCCCTTATTTCATTTTTCCTGTACTTTTCGGCCAGTTTTAGAACTACAACTGTTTAAAAGCATTGCCATCTTGGATTGGTTTCTCTTAAAAGACATGCATCTGAAAACGATGCTCGGTTCACACCTCTCCACCCCCTTTCCGATTTAGCCACCAGTTGCTTCAAACCAAGAAAACATGGGCTTTTTTTAAAATTGTTTTATGTCCTTTTTCCTTTGATAAATGTGGACTTTTTCACTTTCTGGTATCCCCCTTTTCAAGTTTTGTTTAAAATTTTAGCAACCTCATCGACTTCTATTCTTTTAGCAGTTAAAACATACTGTTTAGATGTAAGTTTTCGGAATGGTAAGTTCATTTTTCAATAGTTTCATTGTTTTCATTTTAAATAATTTTCTCTTAATTTACACTTAATTTTTTGATTATTTTTTGGCAAAAATGTTTTTAATCAACAAAAAAGTTGATACTTTATCCCTTTGCGACACGCATATTAAAAAATATTTTAATCTTAAAAAAAATGCCTTAGAATAAGTCAGATGGATTTACTTAAGTGCCTTTCAAGCTTGAAAAAAATTCTGCGTTTTTATTTTTTACGGGGGAAGGTGGGATACCGTTTGTCCCACCATGGAACTAGCACGTCTTATAGTATATTTGTGCATAGCAGGGAAAAAAATCATATGTGGAATGAATAAACAAAATAAAGCATGCATTCTAAAATATTGATAATAAACACATTAAAATGCATTTTGTACAGTATATTTAATATTTTTAAATTTTAGGAAGAAAAAGAAAATATTTTCTTGGACATTATTTTAAGATTAAAATTTGATACTCGTACATATGATACTAAATAAAATATTAAAATTGGCACTTGATTCAAAAACATTTATATATGATTAAAATTGAAAAAAGTTATTTTTCATGAAACTTTGTAAAACACATTGTTTCATTCTTTTGTAAGCATAGAGGCACTTCACATGTTTCAGCCATCCAAAATGTTCGCTGTGCTTCTTTCAATGTGCTGCAATACGTACATCTTCTACTGCTCGTTCTCTTTGGCGTGTAACTTACATTTTTTAGTCTCTTTTCTGGTTGTACGAACGGTTTTTTAGTTTTTATTTGAACTGGGGATTTCAGTTTTCTTTTCAGCTCTTTCTTGCCTCCAAGTGCCATTAGACCTTCTATAACTGAGAGACAAAAATCTTTCATTGTTTTTACATCATGAACGGGTTCGCGAACAAACTTGAATAGAATAAATGCGTTTACTATAATCGCATCTAAAAAGTAAAAAAAGATCATGTGCCACCATTTCTTGCTTTTGTGGTGTATTTCATATAGTAATTTCAGTTGATCAAATAACAGGGTTGCCACTCAAACAGGAGAATGAAATTCCCTGACTTTTCCAGGTTTTCCAGGTGTGTTTCAAGAAAATTCCAGTCTATCCGCGTAATGTACGTTGCCTGTGCTAAGAGGTAAATTAATTTATTACTTACTTGTATTGTGTAGCAAATTCACTTAATTATTCAATAAGTCCCAGAGGACATTTATTCTTAATTATTCTTGGTATATACTTTGATAATTTTGGTTTAGTTTTCCACTTAAGATACTTAATAAAATTTAAGATATATATATTGGATAACAAATGTATGTTTTATTTAATTATTACTCATGATCATCACCACCAGTTCAACATGAGGCTAATCCAGTCCTATAAATCACAACGCAATGCTAAATAGTTAGGTTAGATTTTAGGTAAATTTAATTTGCGTGAGGTATGTTCTTAAAAGGCACCTTAACACTTGAAAACACAAATATATTATAATAGTTGTTGTTTTCTCTCCACTGAAGATTGAGATTAGAATCTTCCCAATCTGGATAAAATAAAGGCTTTTTTTGCAGACATTCTGCAGCTAAACGAAAGAAAGAAATCTATTTAAAAAAAAAAAAAAAAAAATTTAAAAAGAAAAAAAAAAAAAAAAAAAAAAAAAAAAAAAAAAAAAAAAAAAAAAAAAAAAAAAAAAAAAAAAAAAAAAAATTTTATATTTATTTCGCAGCATACATAAGGAAAAAATATGTGCATTAAATTTCGTGATGGTATGTCATCATACTGCTATAATTAATTTCAGGATTATGCCAGAGAAAATTTCCTGAAATTTGGAAAATTATTTACTAATAATAAATAAATTTAGAGGGAAGAAGCAACATTACATTATATGAATAACATAAAAATAATTACTTAAAAATTGAATTAGAATAATCAACGATATTTTAGCGAATATAGTTATATTACATGGCTAGCCTAGATGACTGATTACTATTTTTTTATTTTACTGCAAAATGGCAAAGTATTTATTAAAAAGAAAAAAAAAAAGGTTTAAAAAGATTTTGCGGTAAAATTCTAGTATACGGTAAGGCTTTGGCACGATTTTAAAAATTGTCGCCAAGACCAAAATGACCCGTTTACTGCGCATCAAGATGTAGCCAAATCCCATTATTATTCTAACCAAAGAACGTCTATGTGTAAAGAAGAAAAGGTTCCATACAAGTAGAATGCTATTACGCCGCTAGAATGCGGAGGGAAAATTTGCCAAGGGATTTGGCGACGGAACCTGGCGGCCAGAATTTCCCTCTCCGCGATGTGTACAGGAAATTGAGAAACACGTGTTAAGAAGAAACGCTTTTTAACAAAAAGAAAACTGCGAAAATCCGTTTTTAAATTATTGCGAATTCGCAATAATTTTAAAAACGGATTTTCGTAGTTTCCCCCCCCCTGAAAATAACTAATCCATGAATTAATTTACTTGCGCCAAAAAATATTTTCTTTTCCTTTAGAGTTTAACCACTTGCGCTAAGACTAAACTTCACAGTTGCGGTGCCGTGCGCTACAATATAACAAGCCGTAAAGTGTCTCATTTGCGCCGCTCCGCATCTGCGAGTGCAATCCAGAGCTGTAACTCGAGAAATAAACAATCTCGTTGTTAGACGACGTTTGCACCACGTTATTTTCATTTTTGCGATAAATGCTTATCGACGTGGTGTTCACGTCGCTCGCTGTTTGAGACAAAAGCATCTCGACGTGCGTG